CTGCCAGCACAGAGCAGATGGTCTGAAAAGTACAAAATAAAAAAAGGGAGGAGCAGGTACCAAGACTAGATTGGGAAGACAACCAAGGGGTCAAAGTAGAAATCAAAAGGGAAGTCAAAAAATACCTGGACACAAATGAAAATGGAAACACACTATACCAAAACTTATGGGTTGCAGCAAAAGAGGGACATTGATGGTAATAAACATCTACATTAAGGAAAAAAACTCAAATAATCTAACTTTATACCTCAAGGAACTAGAAAAAGAAGAACAAACTAAGCCCAAAGTAAGTAGAAAGAAGGAAATAACAAAGATCAGAGCAGAAATAAATGAAATAGACTAGAAAGACAACAGAAAAGATCAACGAAATGAAGAGCTGATTTTTTAAAAAGATAAACAAAATCGACAACCATTTAGCTAGACTACCTAAGGAAAAAAAGAGACAATTCAAATAAATAAATTAGAATTTAAAAAGGAGACAATAGAACCAATACCACAGAAATACAAAGGATCATAAGAGACCATTATGAACAATTATATACCAACAAACTAAACTGGTTAACCTAGAAGAAATGCATAAATTCCTAGAAACATATAGCCTACCAAGACTGAATCATGAAGAAATAGAAAATCTGAACGGACCAATAATGAATAAAGAGCTTGAATCAGTAATCAAAAGTTTCCTAATAGAGAAAAGTCCAGGGCCAGATGGCTTTACTGGTGAATTATATCAAACATTTAAATTAATACCAATCTTCTTCAAATTCTTCCAAGAAATTGAAGAGGAAGGAATATTGCCAAACTCATTTATGAGGCCGGCATTACTCTGATAACAAAGCCTAACAAGGACACTACAAGAAAAGAAAACTACAAGCTAATATCCTGATGAGCACAAACGCAAAAATCCTCAAAATATTAGCAAACTGAATTTAACAGCACATTAAAAGAATCATATACTGTGAATGAGTGGAATGCATCCGTAGAATGGAAGGATGGTTCAATATATGCAAATCAATAAATGTGACATACTACATAAACAAAATGAAGGCTCAAAATCACATGATCATCTCAATAGACACAGAAAAGGCAAATTAGGTATAGAAAGAATGTACTTCAACATAATAAAGGCCATAGATGACAAACTCACAGCTAACATCATACTTGACAGTGAAAAGCTAAAAGCTTTCCTCTAAGATCAAGAAGAGATGAAGAGCTCACTCTCACCACTTCTATTCAATATAGTACTGAAAGTCCTAGCCAGAGAAAGAAAATTAGGCAAAAATAAGTAAGTAAGTAAGTAAGTAAGTAAGCATAGTACCGGAAGTCCTAGCTAGAGAAAGAAAATTAGGCATAAATTAATTAATTAATTAATTAATTAATAAAGGGCATCCAAATCAGAAAGGAAGAAGTAGAATTGTTAGCAGATGACATGATCTTATATATAGAAAATCCTATAGACTCCAGCAAAAAATCATTAGAAATAAACAAATTCAGTAAAGTTGTAGAATACAATAATCAACATAAAAAAATTAGTTGCATTTCCATACACTAACAATGAACTATCCAAAAAAGAAATTAATAAAACAATCTCATTTACAATACCATTAAAAAGAATAAAATAGTAAGGAATAAATTTAACTCAGGAAGTAAAAGATCTGTACACTAAAACACTGATCAAGAAATTGAAGATGATACAAATAAATAGAAAGGGATCTCTTTTTCATGGACTGGAAGAATATTATTAAAATGTCCATACTACTAGTAAATGGAGATGAGAAAAATATAATAAAAAAGCTTACCAAAAAAAATTTAAATGTCCATACTACCCAAAGCAATCTACAGATTCAAGGTAATCCCTATCAAAATACCAATGACATTTTTCATAGACAGAAAAAAATCCTAAAATTTGTATGAAACCACAACAGAATCCAAGTAGCTAAAGCAATCTTAAGCAAGAAGAGCAAAGCCGGAGGCTTCACATTTCCTGATTTCAAACTATATAACAAAACTATATTATAAAATTATAGTTATCAAAATAGTATGGTATTGACATAAAAACTGACACAAAGATCAATGAAACAGGACAAAGGCCTGCGCACAATAAACCCGCGCACATTTGGTCAACTAATTTTCCACAAAGGCTCCAAGAATACACAATAAGGAAAGGACAGTCTCATCAATAAATAGTGCTGGGAAAACTGAATATCCACATTCAAAAGAATGAAATTGGATCCTTATCGTACACCATACACAAAAATCGACTCAAAATAGACAAACATAAGACCTGAAATCGTAAAACTCCTAGAAGAAAACATAGAGAATAACTCCTCGGCATTGGTCTTGGTAATGATTTTTTGGATCTGACACCAAATGCATAGGCAACGAAAGCAAAAATAAACAAGTGGGACTACATCAAATTAGAAAGTTTCTGCACAGCAAAGGAAATGATCGAAAAACCAAAAAGGCAACCTGAGGAATGGGAGGAAATGTTTGTAAATCATATATCCAAAAAGGGGATAATATTCAAAATATATAAGTAATCCTTGTAACTCGGCAGCAAATAATAACAACAATTATCTGAGGACCTGAATATATATTTTTCCAAAAAAGATATATAAATGCCCAATATGAAGAGATGTTCAACATCACTAATCATCAGGGAACTGCAAATCAAAACCACAATGAAAATATCACCTCATAGCTGTTAGAATGGCTATTATCAAAAAGATAAGAGATAAAAAATGTGACGATGTGGAGAAAAGGGTGCCCTTGTGCCCATTATGCACTGTTGGTGGAAATGTAAGTTGGTACAATCACTTCTGGATATTTATCCAAAAGAAGTAAAGTCACTGTCTCAAAGACATATCCTCACCCTCATGTTTCTTAATTAGATATATACAATAGAATATTATTCAGCCATAAAAAGAAGGAAATCTTGCTATTTGTGACAACATGGATGGACCTAGAAGATATTATACTGAGTGAAATAAGCCAAAGATAAATATTATATGGTATCACTTATATGTGGAATCTTAAAAAAAAAATCCATACAATCAGAGAGCAGAAAAGTGGTTGCCAGGGGCTGGAGAGTGGGGGAAATAGGAAGATTGTTGTAGGGTACAAACTTCCACGTATAAGATTAATAAGCTCTGAGGATCTATTATATAGCATTGTGACTATAGTTAAAGAAAATCGTATACTTGAAATTTGCTAAGGGAATATATCTTAACCATTCTCACACACAAAAAAGGCAAGTATGTGAGGTGATGGACATGATAATCATTTCGCAATGTATGCATATATCGAATCATCACACTGTACACTTTAAATATATTACCATTTTATTTGTCAATTATACCACAATAAAGCTGGGGGTCGGGGGGGAAGAACTGAGAAAAAGCCTGAGCTGCTATCTTACTACGCTCTCGTGAGAGGGCTTCTTAACCTCTCTGGGCCTTGATGACTCCATTGATATAATGAGACTCTGCCCTCCCTGTTCCTGGGACTCATAAAACAGGGAAAAGACCCCTGGATTCCAGGGGTGTAGACAGACCTGTGGTTAAGGCTCACCCACAGGAGACCCAGGAAGAACAGGTGTGCTCCCTGCTCTCATCTGGGCCAGAATATCAGCTGCACCCATGACGAGTTTGGCAGGAGTCAGATACCGGGTCATTTGAGGGATCTGCACAGCCTGGTGTCTGGGATAGCAATTGCTGCCTTGGGCTCAGCTTCTGACAAGAGAGACAATTTGGCCACAGCCCTGATGTACTTGCCCAACAGTGATGCCTGGGTGTGCCAGGAACCAAGCTATATGGGTCGGGGGCAGGGAGGCAGGGGAATGGACAGAGAGAACTGAACTTCTGCAGACAGGCCCTGGTCCTCAAGCCCCGCCTCCAACACCAAAGCCGAGAGGAAGACAAAGGAATAAGGTCGTAGGGAAATGACAGGAGCCTTGGGTTGGCAGTCAGCCCTGTTCTTGTGGGACCTTGGGCAAATCTCATCTCTTCTCCAGGCTTCGGGGCAGAGGAGCTATTATATAATGAGGGTTCACCAGGGTCAGAACCATGCCAGGTTCTTCGCATGTATTCACTCATCAAATCCTCATCCCAAACTCCATGAGCTAGGAACCATGATCTCCTAAGGAGCCTGAGGGTCAGAGAGGTCACACATGTATGAGGCACACAAGGCCTGCAATGGAAGAAGTGAGAGACCAGGAGCCCTGAGAACCTTTCCAGATCAAAGGGACCCTGATTCTACAAACTTTCCCAGGGCCGTGATTACAGGCATTGCCCTCTCAGCCTTTCTCTTGCCTTCACCTCTATTATACAGCACAATACAGTCCCCTGGGCACTGCCTCCAAAACATACACAAAATCCCGCAGGCCCGCTGCCTCCACCTCAGTCCAAGCCATCATCTCCTCTTTCCTGGACAACCACAGCCTCCCAGCTGGTGTCCCCGCATGCCTCCCTTGCTCCTTACTATGCACTCTCTACCCAGAAGTGAGTAAAATGTAAATCAGATCACATCACTTCCCCCACAATACTCTGCAAAGGCTTCCTCTGTCTTTAGAGAAGATTCTCAGCTCCTAAACCATGACCTCCAAGGACCCACATGATCTATCCTGGCCAGCCCTCCAACTCCACCTTCCATCCTCCCCATCGCTCACTGGCTTCAGCCAAGAAGCCTCCACACTGGTCCATATACCTGCCGAGCTCCTTTCTGCCTCAGTAGTTCCCTCTACCTGGACCTCTGCTCCCTCTGAGCCTCACCTGGTAGTCTCCTTTTCCTTACTTCATCATTATTCTCCCCATCTCCACCCAGGCACTGTCCCGTCACCCTGTCTTATTTTCCTGTTCTCTGATTTCCATGTCCAGTGCCCATCTCCCCAACAGAATGGAATTGTCTACTCTGCTCTCTGTGCACCCTCAGTTTACAGCCCAGGGCACCCACACAGTGGGTGTTTGGCATACACATGGCTGATAAATACACCACAGGCCCACCTGGTTCCGGAAGATCAAGGCCACCACACCACCAATGAGCTCGATTATGAGGCAAATCCCAAGGATGTACATAAACTGAAAAACAAAATTCAGAGATTCACCTAGAGGGTCAGAGGAAGTGCTTTCTGCTCCAAGGTCAAGTACAATAAGGAGAATCATCTCTGTCAGAGCTCTCACTGCTCCTGAATCTCTCGCCCTTCCTCCTATGAGGACAAAGGATGTGGACAGACATTCCGTGGGAAAGCCATCTCTGGAGCCAGTGATCAGGAAGAGTGACTCAGCTGTTCAAGCCAGATTATTATCAAAGTTTGTCCCAGGGCTCCTCAGCGGGGTCTAGGTGGAGAAACACACACACCCCTCCCACCGCTCACAAGGGGAGCTGGTCCTTGCTCTTGCTGACCCAGAGGGGACAGATCTGGCTTCATGGGCAGGGTGGGGCAGAATTTCCAGCTCTGTGGGCAGAGCCCCTAAGAAGTGGCTTCCCAGACTCCCATAGTGGATGAGGGAATATCTGAGGCTTAGAGGATCCATACTCCACTGTACCCCTGCCTTTTACTGAGGAACAGGCATTGTCCAAACTAATGTCAGCAACTTCCAGCCTCAGGCAGCACCAAGGTCCTGCTATAGGGGCTTTTAGGGGCTTCCCATGTGAGGGAGACTGTAAGGCCAAACACACATGTGGGTACAGAGCAAATGGATCTGCCTATTCGGTACCCACAGCTTTGGGGATCCCCACAGTAAGGGGGCAGGTGGGGCTAACCTCACCCCCTGACCCAGGGCAGGCACTTGGCCCAAGCAGGCCCTTCAGAGTCCTGGGACTTTGGCCAGAGTTACCAGGAAAGATTTCTTGGATCAAGAGCACAACAAGGACTCTGGCCTGAGGCTACTACTGGTGACCATCACGAAGAGAGACTGAGGACAATACTAGGCGTCCAGCTGGGAGGTGGCAGGAGAGAGAGCCCAAGGGCGCTGTCTACAACCTGGCACCCAGGTGTGGGTTTGCTGGCTACCTGACCTAAGGACTCACCATCAACAACCTTTTTGGTTTTACTCCTCTCATTTGAGTGTGGCTTCTCCCACCTCCAACACAGGGTTTAAGTAAGTAAGAAGAATGGTATTCAAATCAGCCTTTATACACAGAAGTGGAAGTGGTCTGGGCACTCTCTTGGGCCGATCCAGGAAACCCTCTAGAAGAGCGGGTTTGAGGCAAGGAAGGACTGAAAAAACTGGGTGGTCCGAGGGCCAGGGGGTAATCTCTCAAGCAATCTAGGGGACTCCAAAGACCCCCGTCCACCAGCTGAGGGGTGCATGGGGCCGACTTACCACTTGAAGAAGACACAGGTTGTCGCGGAGGGAAGCCAGCACACCAATGAAGGAGACAATGAACATGATGACCCCAAGCAGGATGAGGATGATGGCCGGGGCCAGAAAGGCACTTTCAAGGGTTTTGTATTTCTGCCGCTCGACTTCTGCGTAGATCCCCACAGACAGGACCAGAGACCCGATCAGCTGCAGCAAGAAAGCAGGGAGTAAGAGAGGGGAAGGACTGCCTGTCACTTGATTTTCCTACAAAGGCTTCATCTGGGGGGCTATGATGCCTGCCTTTGGGGGGGCTCACCCCAGATGACTATACATGAGGGAACCTGTTAGAGGCTGAATTGTTATTCCCTTAAAATTCGTATGTTAAAGTCTTAACCCTCAGTACCTCAGAATGTGACTCTATTTGGAGATAGAGCCTTTAAAGAGGTAATTAAGTTAAAATGAGGTCATACGGGTGGGCAGTAATCCAATATGACTGGTGTCCTTATAAGAAGAGATTAGGACAGACATACACAAAGGGAAGACCATGTAAAGACACATGGAGAAGGCAGCCATCTACAAACCAAAGAGAGGCCTCAGAAGAAACCAATCTGCAATACCTTAATCTTAGACTTCTAGCCTCCAGAACTGTGACAATAAATTTCTGTTGTTGGGGTGGGCAGTAATCCAATATGACTGATGTCCTTATAAGAAGAGATTAGGACAGACATACACAAAGGGAAGACCATGTAAAGACACAGGGAGAAGGCAGCCATCTACAAACCAAAGAGAGGCCTCAGAAGAAACCAATCTGCAATACCTTAATCTTAGACTTCTAGCCTCCAGAACTGTGACAATAAATTTCTGTTGTTTAAGCCACCCAGTCTGTGGCACTTTGTTATGGCAGCCCTGGCAAACTAATACAGACCCAATCTGGAAATGCTGCTTTAGAGAAAAGTATGGGTGAGTCAGGGGAAATGCCACTGGTTAGAGGGTCAGAGAACCCGGGCCTTTCCACGGCCTGTCCCCATGGCCTGGAATGCTCTTTCTCTTGACATCCACACTGCTCGCTCCTTCACACCCTTCCTGCCTTTGCTCAGTTGTCACCTGCACAGAGAGCCCTTTCCAGGCCATCTTATTTAAAAGTAGAAAGTCCCTCTCCCTTGGAACTCCTAATCCTATTTCCCCATTTTATTTTTCTTCTTTGCACTTACCAGAATTTAATGTACTTTTTTCTTTTTATTTTTTAATTGTTTGTCTTCCCCACAAGAAAATAAGCTCCATGCCAGGAGGGATTTTTCCACTGCTTCAGGCATCCCCAGCACCCAGAAGAGTCCTGACATTTAGGAATTTCAAACAGCCTTTACAACCAATGACTGTTGAATGGATGCAAGCCGGGCTTCCCAACAGACCCCCTCGAGTTTGCGTCTGATGCTGTCTACCTAGTCTCCTGCCTGGCTAAGGATTCTGACTTTCCAAGCCACACATTCCCAAGGGCAGGGGCAATTCTTTAGATAAACTAGACTTCTCCACTGAGCATAAGGCAATGTGGGAGAATAACCGAAAGCCATGCTGCTGTCAGCTAAGGCCTGACTAAAGGAAGTGAGGAATAATACAGACAAGATGTTGGCAAAATATGCCATGAGCATAGCTACCCTTGAGTCAACATCCGGAACACTAAAGAGGCTGCTCCTCCACTTACTCATTGGTCTACTCGGCCTTAAACTGGCTATAGCGTGCCCTCCAAGGAGATCCTCTTGACTTCCTTCTAAAGACCATTAAGATTGTCCTGAGTAAAGGAAAATGCCTGCTTCCTTTAAGCTTTGACAAATGACAAAAATGCCAAAAGTCAAACAGACCAAGCTACTTAGGAAACACCTGATAACAGAGGATTACCAGGAAGCCATCCTCCTCACCCTTAGATCCAGCAATCTGCTGTATTTCAAAGCTAAGTGCCATTCCTTTGGTTTGAAAAGATAATCTGGGATTACTAAGACCCAGTCTACAAGGGATATCTTTCCAACATACTGGGCCAGGAGGTTCTAAAGGCATTGACAAACTCTGCTGTGAGCTACTCATTAACAAGTTGGCCATATCAGGAAAACTGTGAATGAAATGATGTCATCAAAATCACTCACTTGGGCAAATTTTAAAATTTATAAGGCAGAACACACACACACACACACACACACACACACACACACACACACACAACTGTCTAAAGGAAAATGGTGATCATAGGAAAGAAAGTCTACCTTTATTTAAAAAAAAAAAAAAAAAAAAGATTAAGCAGAGGCCTGTCCTGTCAGTTCAGGCTCCAAAACCCAGAACATGGTGAAATCATTGTTCAAGGCTGGCCTAACCCCCATGGGTCCTCTGAAAACAAGGGTAAGCAGCTTTGAAAAGTCAAATCCACTCCTTCTGAATTACTGCACTTAGAAGAAATCACTCACGGAACCCTAACCCTGAACCAGAGACCAGAGATCTCTCCACCCCAAAGCTGAGGATTATGGATCAAGAAGAATCCCACAGAGAAGTGAAGTCTTTAGAGCCAGGCAGGGAGTGAATTAAATATGCAAGAATGAGGTATACATAAGGGCTACAAAGTTGAGTCTCATCTTCTATCTTGATGAAAAGTGTAATTCTCATGCTGTCACTGAACTAACAAGAGAACATCTTAATATTTTCAGTATTCACTCATGTACTTTCGAGATTTCTGTTTACTACTGTAAAAAAACAAAAAACAAAAACAAAACAAAACAAAAAAAACCTATCTGGCAGGATGGACCCAGGTCCTAGCTGGCCCCCTCCCTCATTCCCCACTTGAGGCTATGTTTCTGGGGTAGTACCCTGCTTTGGAAACCATCTCCAAAACACCAGAGCTGTCGCTAGCCCCAATTCCGAGCAGAACTGACCCCAGCCCTCTCCATAAAGGCAGTCAGTGGCTTATTCTATTTTTACAAGCTCTCCAGAGCCCCAAGGCCCATTCCAGAACAGTCTTGCCGACAGGAAACAAAACTTCCTTTGGTTTGATCTCCCTCCTGTTGCAAAGCATCACATTTTCCTTGCTAGTGAGCCTTACAACATTTCTAGGCCACTAAAGCCATAGGAAAAGCTACCATGGCAAATGCAAACCCAAGCCTCCTGACTCCCCACCCCACCCCACCCCCCCACACACACACACCCCTCACTGTGTACCCAGCCGTCACAGGCGCATTTCTCCTGGTCCAGCAGAAGTGCTGTCACCCCAGCCCTCAGAGAAGCCTGGCAGCCCTCACCGTTGCTCCCCACACAGCATAGGCTGATCTGGACTCCTCGTTCAAATGTCCAAGGGGCAGTGGACATGGGGAGAGGCCAACATAACCCCTCCCAAGAACTTCAAGATTTCCAAATAATATTTACATAATATTTACATAATATTTTATGTTGCCATCTGAACATAAAATTAACTGTCAATGCCAATGTGCAATCCCATCCACTCTTCTCTGGTAATTATAGCCTTTCACCAGGCGGCCAACCACTCCAGCTACAGCGCAGGAAGCAAATGGCCTATTTGTCAAGCAAGACAGCTTCAGCTAAACAGGGCTGAGGACAGGGAGCACACGGCCATGCCCATTTGGGGCCGAACTGGGAAAGAACATGCTGCTGCAGCCCACAGGCCAGGCCCAACTCCCCAGACTTTGACAGCCATGTGGTGGTGTCTTCAACAAGCTGCACAGGAGCCCTGTTGACCCAGCAAGAAAGGGACTTGAAAGTCTCTTCTGAGCCCTGCAGCCTGGGACCCAGCTTCCTCCTCTGCAGGGAGAGGCCCAGCTCTACGCAGCTACTGGGAAGCAGGAGGCCCTGTGAGGCATCCCAGCACCTGTGTCTCCTCCTTCAGGAAGCATCTGCTCACTGATCCCTTCCCCAGACTGGCTCACCCCCAGCTGGGGCAAGTCTGCACTTAGAGGGGAACTGCAAGGCCCATGTTCACTCCAGAAGGCAAAACCCAGCACCTATTATATTCCAAGCCCTGAGTTCACAAGGGGTCACAGGACTAGATAGGGGGTAAGACCAGGGAAGGGGAAATTGAGAGAGGCTGGAAATGACTTTTACGGTCCTATGGATGGCATTGGGGGAGAGGAGATCTTTCAGGAGGAACTGGAGGTGCAGAAAAAAGTCCCATTTTAACTTTTGTTACCTTCCAGCTAAAATGTTCCTTGCACAAAAGAAGTGTAGAACCCCCAGTTCATAGGAAGCGAGCTGCAATTCCTACCATGGAGATATACAGAGGGCTCTGGGAATTTGAATGAAAGTGAGGGGGAGAAAAGAATTGTCAGAAATTCAGGATGGGCTTCCTGGAGGAGCCAGTGTTTCCTGGAAGGCCCCAAGAACTGTTTCATTCTGGAACTATCTCATGGGGCACTTGAGGCTCCCGGGCTCTGTGCTGGGCTCAAACAAAGTACTTTTGTGAGTTTCTAGTTTGAAGGGATGTGGGAACTAGCTAAACTCCAGGGCCTCGGAGATTTTGAAATCTAGCACAGCACACACAGCTCTAGAACATTTCACGGGATGCTGTCCCTTACCACTCTCACATTGTTCCTTTTCTTCCATCCTTATTTAAAAAATCATGTGCCCTAATCATCCTGCCACTAGCTAGAGGAGGTTCAATTAATATTCACTGACTTCATTTGGGAGAAAAGAATCTCTTCTCCCACTTTCCCTGAGACAGCTCAGTTCCTGTTGACCCGCCCTTCTTTCCCATAAAGAAAGCAGGACAGACCAGATCCAGAAGGCCCTGGCAATGCCCCCAACCCAAACTGATGTAGGGTCCATTCGGTCTCCCTGGAGAATGCCAGATCCACCTCCAGGACTACCTGGCAGTACTCTAAGCTCTGGGGACCCTGACCCTGATTCTATTGACCTGGTTCCAGTCCAAATTCAGGTAGCCTCTGTTTGAGGAATAGGGGGCCTTGAACCCTAAATCAGAGCCAGTCCTTGAGAAAGCAGCAGAGGCTGCCTCCCACTGCCAACAAAGGAGCCGGTCCCTGGTCTTTGTCACTGGTATTTTGCTGTCTTGACCCTGGACTTCTTTTTTAAAAACTGGAGTCAAGTGTAGAGAACTTGGTTAAATGCGGTCCCTGACCCATGACATTCTCTGACACAGCCTGCTTTTGTTTGTCATGTAGTAAGCACCATTTATTAACCAGCTCTTCTCTTCCCACTGATCT